TGTTTTACTCACTAATGCAGATCTTCTAAAGGTTGACATGTTTAATTCTGTAATATCAAAAGTTACATTCATTAACATCTCACCCCCCCCCCATCATTAGGGAAGTCTTTAAGTATTGAGAAACTGTCACAATTGCAATCTTCTAATTTTCATTTGAAAGCTTAAATCTTACAATTGGCAACAAATGTCAGTTATTTCCTACACTCACTTTGTTCTTTTTTTATTTTATTTTATTTTAAGATTTATTTATTTTTATACAAGAGCTAGGGTACAGGCCAGATACACGGGAGGATGAGAGGATTCCCCAGAGACAGAGCAGGGAACAGAACAGGCCGATGACCGAAATACACTGCTGAGGGGAGCAGCAGACGAGACAGGAGAGGTCTGCCTCACCTTGTGGGATTCTCGCTAGCCGGCCAGGATCGAACCTGCACTGCAGAGGCCGTAGACAGCTTCACAGTGCAGCGCTCAACCCACTGCGCCTCTGGGGAGGCCCTGTTCATTTTTTAGAAAATATCTGCCAAACTCTAAGTGTGATAACCATAGTTTATCTTTCAGGTGTTCTATCAAGTACAGATGGCATTTCGTGAAAAAAAAAAAAGTGACTATCTCAGCTCATAAACTCAAATACTCACACCAGAGATTTTCTTCAGAAGGCTCTCAGTCTCCAGTGTGCAACAGGCACTCAGTCTTTCCAATTTTTATCACAAACAATGTGAAAGATGTGTACCTACTGGTTGAGTTTTAATAAAATTGATACTCTTTGCTATTTCCTCAAAGACATTCTTAAAAACTTGCATGGATTTTGTTGTGATTACCTGGCAGCGTTAAATGTGTTGACCACACATGGAGTTTGGTGTCAATGCTTGATTTGTTCTAGGTTCTATTGCTTTACTCCACTTTGCTTGCATCATCATGACAAATATCAACAGAGTGAAAAAAGCAAATGACACTTTTACATTATTATGAAAATAGTGTGGGCCTAATGAATTCTCTGAAAAAATATCTGGCAACCCCTAGAATCTCAGTCACATCTTGGGAACTGGTGATTTATCTCATTTTCTCTACCTGGTCATTATCACTGTTTTAACTACATAGGAAATCCAATCCACTTATGGAACAGTGAGATTATAAGATAAAGTTATTAATATTTTAGGGTGAAAATCATCAGTGTGCTGGGATGCATATTAAGAAGTATCAATAGATGACCAATCTTTGATTTTCTAATAAATCAAATAAGTAAATGTAGTTTCTAATAAGTACATACAAGTAGAGTCTTTTACCAGTGAACCTTTCAGACTAAACAAATTAGAATGTCACAGGGTGACTAAAATAATTACCAGGATTAAGTTTCATTGTAACACAGAATGATCATGAATATGACAAGAAAAAACATTCACCCAATGATCTACTATTGTATCCTTAATGTATTCAAGGCAAAGGTTTCAGGGTCTTTGGTGTTCACCTCTATCTGTATAAAATGCCATAATGTCCATTTTGGAGAAATATTTTCAAAACATTTGCATCAAAGTCTTCCCATTACTGTAAGGTTTTTATTAATCTGTACACAGAAATGCTTCTGAGGTCAACTTGATTGAAGTCTTTCAGGGAAAATCACAGAAGTTAGACTCAATTTTTCACCAAATTACCTTATCTAGTTAGACTGGAGTCATAAAATTATTGGGGCAACTTTCTCTTCTCTGGAACAATTTGCATGTAAGAGGGGTTACCTGTTTTATTTCTAAAGGCTAACACTCATCTGTCCACTTCCAGGACCTGGAGTTTGGGAGGTCTCTAAGAAAACTCAATTTCATTAAAAGTGATTGGCCTTTACAAATTTTTTTTTTAAATTATCCTATAACAATATTGTCATTTTATGTTTTCTGAGAAAATTACCCATTTCATCAAAGCTTACTGCATCTTACTGTTCATAATGGTTTTAAAAATTATGTATCTATTATTTGGCTATTCAACAAAGTCATCATGAAGGAAAGCAGTGTTCCTTTACATCTAAGAGCTGAAATGGGTCACCCAACAAGTCCAGATGTCTGATCTCTACTTATCACTTAAAGCATGACTCTCTTTTTTTTTTCAAAAAAAAAAAAAAGAATTGTTTTATTTATTAATGCATACAAGAACTGGGGTGTAGGCTAGAGGTGCGGGGGTTGGTGAGAGGATTCAGCAGAGACAGAGTGGGGAGCAGAACAGGCAGATCTACTGAAATGCACTGCTGAGGGGAACAGCGGGAGACAAGAGTGGTCTGCTGCACCATGTGGGTTAGCTCCCTAGCCAGACATCAAACTCATTCTTCAGTGGCTGGCAACAGCTTGATAGTGCTGAGACTTTAACCCCTGTGCCACAAGGGAGGCCCCCAAAGCATGACTCTTTCAAAGGGAACTTGCTCTCATTTTAAATTTGTTAGCCATGGGGCCATATGTAAAGTTATGTTTGCAGCACACTCTGTTTTGGGGCAACTTCTAGGATTAATTTTGTATAATTTTTGCATTTGTTAAATTTTTTACAAAGATAAAAACCAGATTGTTTAAAGATAGGCTTATCCTTCAAGATAGTACTATTATTACTTCCCTTTACTGTTACACAGTATAGCAGAAGCCATGTTCTGAACATAAATTATAAGGAAAGTAGTTTCATTGTACAGGAAAGCTGGTAGAAGTACAATATGACAAAGAGAAAGAAGAGACTCTTCAACCCCTTCAACCCATTTTTCTATCACATAAGAGCAAATGTGCATTTTCTTTTTCATGCAAGTAACAGAAAATATCTCCCCAGTACATGTACAAACTTTGTATATGACAGATATATTTAAATGAGTCAGAGCCTCAGGTCAAGACTGCTGTACTTTGGGCAAACCACACGCATGAAAAGCTCTAGAAATTGAAAGCAGAGTCAGCAAGATCACGCTGCAGAGCAAAAATAAATTTTCCTAGCTGAGCTGACATTTACAGAAGATTTCCCTCATGGCTGTTAACAGAAATTGGCTGAGTCCAATGCCAAAATCCAGAGCTAGTGCCTTGGGCCCTTTCCTGTTTTCTGGTCTTAAATTATCCTCTTTTCAAAACACCATCTTGATTTTTACCTCTCTGTAACTCAGGTACTGTTAAAAGAAAAAGTAGAAATAATAATTGATAATAATAATGGCAGAGAATGAGTGAACATTTGATGTATGTGTCTGAGAATCAAACAGGATCATTCATGTGAAGATCTTAATACCTAGTATCGATCTAGTGATGAGTAAACATTATTTTATTCTGTGTTTTCTTGGCTCTTGTTAAAAAACACCTATTGGGTTATGTTTATAAAATGTGCTTACCTTGGCATTCACTGCATAATGAAATCTCTTTCTGCCTATCAGATTCAATCACCTTTATTTTAGGTCCTTTAAAATGAGTTCCGAGGTTTAGGGGCCTCCCTGGTGATTAAAGGGGTTAAGATGCAGCACTATGAAGCTGTCCGCAGCCACTGGAGCACGAGTTTGATTCCCAGCCAGGGAGATGACCCACATGGCACAGCAGACCTCTCCTGTCTTGCCCACTGCTCCCCTCAGCAGTGTATTTCAGTAGATCTGCCTGTTCTACTCCCCACTCTCTCTCTGGTGAATCCTCTCACCCCGCCTCCCCATGCCTCTGGCCTGTACCCCAGTTCTTGTATGCATACATAAATAAATCTTTAAAAAAAAGTTTTTTCCGCGGTTTAAGATGTAGCTTCTCATGATTGCTCACAGTAGGACATTTGTCTCCATATCGAGCTTTGATGGTATAATACAGACCCACTCACCTACGCCTCTACCCCAGCTTCAGCTTCTACTCCCTGAATTGGATCCATTCTGGATTCTTTTCTGCATTCTCACTGCATCATCAGTCTGCCTGGTGATTCCTGTTCTTGTCACTCCACTCCCTGGTCTCCCCATGTGGCTATAACATTGTATACTCACACTCATTGTGTTCACGTTGCACACTCATCAGGCTGCACTGCCTTGAAGACCATTGCCTTTGCTTGTTTCATGAATCTACAAGCCCAACAGCTTTCCCATCCCCCTCAAACAACAGCAACATTACAGTTTATGATCAAAAGTGTCGGTCATCCATTAAGACTAATTTTTCACGATTTTATTTGTAGATCATAATGATGTAGCTGAGAAGTATTTTCAAATGTGCAGTCTTTAAGATGGTTATTTTATTTTCCAGAAGTTTTTGGGACAGCAACCTCATTTGTATTCTACGTTAAACACTATTCGTTCTTCTGTTTATGCAGTGAGCCTTCATGAATGCCAGTCTGAATCACAGTAAAGTGCATATTTTTTTTTTTTTCAGAATGAAATGAGCAAGGCAAATAATCATTCTGAGGATCTTAAAGTTAGGATGCATACTTGGTAGCTCCATCATCCAACCTAAGAGCCTTCATTGAACAAAATATATTCCTTGGCAACAGTATGCTACTGGCTTAGCTCTCAATTCCCACAGGAAACTTGTCAGACTCTCCATTTTTTAATTATTATCTGCTTCGTTAGCCAACAGAACAAGCAGCTAGCACATGCTAGCCATCACATCTAGAAAAATCCTATCACTTGATACTTGATGATTGCTGTATTCACAGTTCCTAAAGCAACAAGAATCTCATTTCAGCATCTTAAAACATCCTGTCTCTTAGCAAAATCTTCAAGACTTGTGACAAGACCATTTCTGGAATAGATCCTCATCTCAGGATTAAATTCCTGTGAATGCTGGAGCCAGGTGCATGAGTGTCAAAACTGCACTGAAGAGATAATCTATAGAAAACACTTTAAAGGCAATAAACTGCCAGGTCCTAAATGGATGTCAAATGCCTCTTCTTATTTTTTGTGAGCTTCTATGAATCTTCATAGATTTGTGCATAGACAGGAAATGAAAGTTATGATTTATAAGAAACTTGAATATTTGCAAATCTTTTTTTCATTGTCAAACAGGGTGAGGCAAGGAGACAGAAATTGTTCTCATATTGGTATGGAGGCCAGAGTCACTCTTGGGTGTCACCTATTGCCTTAGTGGTCAGAGTCCTTGAAGAATAACTGCTGATCTTGTTCACTGACTGTGGCCCTTATAGTACAGTCAGTCACCAAGTTGGTGGCATGATAAAAAAAAAATATTTCTCATATTTAAGAGAATATGAATGTATAGGTACATAGGTTGAGTCTTTCAATTATATTTTAGTATTGAGCATCCAAACTGTGCCTTTAATTTTCCTGATTCTTCTATATGAAGCAGAATCTTAAGACCTGCATTGCAGCACATGCAGACTGTGCTCAACAGATGCTCTTGTCAACCTTTATAAATTGTAATTATAAATACAAAAGGGTGGTAAAAAATTAGCATTGTAATACAAATAACAATTCATATTTATTAAGAACAAAGTGTATCCCAGGCATCATGCAGGAATCAGGATAAATTCATGAGATGAATTCTCACTCCCATTTCCATAGGAGAAAATGATGATTCAGGTAGGTTAAGTAAATGCCTCAAGGTCTTGCAGCTAAAAGTGAACAGCAGAGACTGGCCTCAGTTGTAGAGGACTGAAAAAGTGAGAAACCAGCTAGAAGTCTTTCCTTTGTCCCTGCAGCTCCTTCTAATTGTTTCCTGTGTCCCCAGGGCCTCCAACTGGACTTGGTCTATGGAGTCAAGCAAAAGGTGAGAGAAAGGAGCAAAAGGAGGGTGGGAGCCCTTTCCTCTCTGCAGAGACAAGTCTTTTGAAGAATGACAAGGCAATCCTTCCACACAGCATTCTGGGTTCTAGTGATGGCTTCTCACCTCATCTTTCAGGGTTCACAGGAGTAACAGCACCCAGCAGGTGCTGTGCTTTCACCCAATTCAAATGTCATATGCTCCTTGCCAGTATCCTGATAGATTCACAGAATCCATCAGAATGTGCTTTACAGAAATAAATCATAAATTTCAATGTGATTTTCTTATCCTTCTACTATAACCACAGAATATTATAAAATGCAGTAGCACAGACATCCCAGGGTACCTCGTGGAAATTCTCTCATATGGGATATTTCGTAGATTTCTTTGAAGCAAAATACAAATCAATAAGTCCTCTAAATACTGAAATTACTAATCTATGTGGCTGTGCTGCTATATGAATAGATTCTGGTTGTCTTTCTCATTTTCTCATTCCCTTTCTCCCATCCTGTAATTTATCTTTCTGCTATTGATTTCTAATTTAATTCTATTGTGGTTTGAAAACAGATATTGTATGATACTTATTTTTTTGAATTTGTTTAGAAGGGCTTTATGGTCCAGACTATGGTCTAGCTAAGTAAATACTCCATATGACCTTGAAAAGAACATGTACTCTGAAGTAGTCTGAAGATGTCAATTATATTCAGTTGATTAATGGCTTTGTTGAGTTCAGCTATGTCCTTACTAACATCCTGCCTGCTGGATCAGTCCATTTCAGACAGAGCTATAGCAATATTTCTTGGAGTGTTACTGGTCAGGGAGGGGCACCCCAGAACCCCCAAACATGCCTGCTTGAAATGGGTTCTACCATCTGCCGCATCAAGACAAAACATACTCTAGTGCAGAAGACCTTCAGTGGAAAGGAAGTTTAATACAATTAGTGTGTAATAAAGAAAAGAGAAGGGAAAAAATAGAGAATATAGTTTCCAAATCAATCACCCAAAGTTACCCTCCCTCATGGGTGAATGCCCAGCCAAACAGAGTTGGTCCAAAGCAGGGCCACTGAAGAACAAAAGCTTGGCACAAGTCTAAGGCACTTTCTGGGGGGACTCATAGAAAAGGGAAGAGGGACCCAGCATACCTGGCAGAAGGAGCAAAATGAAAATCAAGATAAAAGCTGCCATTGCCAAATCCCCACTGGTCTCTCTCACCCACATCTGACTCAAGTGTCTCCTTCCATGTCCCCCAAGTCCCTGGTACAAGTTCAAGGCAGAGAAGCAAGCAAAGCTTCTTCACGCTGCTCTGCTCCATGTGCCTCCTCCAAGTTTCTTTCTTGCTCCCCATCCTTCCTGCCGCAGTCTCCTCTGCCCAGTTCCACCCTGCCCTGGGTGGGGAATCTGGAACCTCCCCTTTCCCTGGAGTACTTCTGTCAGCCTCTTTTCCCTCTCCTTCCAGAACTCTGAGAACAGTAGTCGAATGTTTTTGATGCCCCACAGTCTGCTGAGACTCTATTTACATATTTTTCAATTTTTTCTCTATTGCTGAAATTGTTTAATTCAGCTGTTCTACCTTCAAATCTACTCATTCTTTTCTGTTTTCTCTTCTACTGCCAAATCTATCCCTTCAGTGTTTTATCTTGATTATTGTGTTATTGTATTTTTTTTAATTCTATAATTGCCCATTGAGTTTTCTTTATAACTTCTATTACTTTGCTGGGACTCCTTTATTCCTTGGTGTTAAGTATGTTCAGAAGTGCTCGCTGAAACTTGTTTATGATGCAGACATCACATTTCTTTATTTCCTTATGGGTAGTGACAGCTTTTACTTATTTTTTTTAAGTTATATTTATTGAGGCAACGTTGGTTTATATCACTAGGTAGAAGTTTATACCAGTACAAATGTATGTGATTTCAACTACCACCAGAGCCCCAGTAATTCTCCATTGAGTCCCCTTCTCCCCTTTGCTCCCACGCCACCACATCTCCCTTCTGGAAGCCTTAATCATTGTCCATTGTTTTCTTCCCCTTCTAATTTCCTCCCCTCTCACTCTCTCCCCCTTCCCTCCTGGATGCCTCAGATCTTGTATAAACATAATTTAGTTGATTTTCTCTACAGCATTTCAGGAGTGGAAGGGGGAATGGTACCACCCTATTGTTATCTCAAGGTGGAAGTAGAAGTCCATGCCATCCAGTTCGCCTCCACTGATATCCAAAAAAGAACGATGGAAAAAAGCACTAAGTGGGATCTCCCAAGAGCTTTTAGAAAGAGCACAGCTCTGCTGACTGAACTGTGGTAGAGGATTATGGGTGCTTTGTTGGTGGGAACAATGTGGTAGCAAGAATCTGAAGAGTCTGACTGTGTACCTCAAATAATATATAGTGTTGGAAACCAGTGTTACCTCAATAAAAAATAAAAAATATTAAAAACGCATGAGCTAAAATACATAAAAGATCTGCACATTATACCTCACATAGAAGATACAATAATAGTACCTAGAGAATGTACAAATTTTATACAGAAGATATGCAGAAATTAGGTTCTATTTTCCATTTTTTAGTCCATCCGGCAGAATCATAAATACATTAGATTTACCAGTAATTGTTAAGAGTAATTCAATATTTATCACATGGTGCATTAGTTAAGGTTACAAACTTAAAATTCAAAATATATAATGGCTCACATACTCTAAAAACCTTTTGTAAACTCACATGATTTCCAAATTGGTAGTCTTGATTGGCACATAGGTGCCCTGCAAACGACCCGCAGGCACCCAGACTGCTCCCACTGTGTCTCTATCATTTTCAGTGAGTCATTTTCAAGGTCACACTCCATGATGTCTCCATTCTAGTCACTTAGAGGGGGAAACAGCTTGGAGAATCATCATGTCTGGCAAGCTGTAGCATGGTGGATCCGGAAAGAGCACACACCACCTCTACTCACAGTCTATTTGCTAGAACACAGCCACATGGCCACCTCTAACTGCAAAGCAAGGACAAGAATATACTAGCTGTGGGCTCAGTGGGGAAGCAGGTGTGATGAACAGCTCACCAGTCTCTAGCACATCTATGAGTTCATGTGCCAAGAACAAATTGTTTTTTTTCTGGGTTTTTCTTTGTCAGCTTCCATTGAAGACAATGTTAAAATTCTCCCCTGTATAAACCTGATACATAGATCAGATACTGTGTAAACCTAATGCCAAGTAATTACCATTTGTTTCTAAATATGCTGAAAGTTGAACTGAAAGATGCATACATGAAGCCATCCTTTTTTATTTTGTTTGCTGGGAACAATATCCACAGAAATAACTCCCAATATATGATCCAGAAAACCCTGGGGAACCTCAGAAAAATGATTAACTATCCATTTATGTACATGAAATCTTAGGAAGCATTGTTTGCAGACTATATGTATTTTTTTTACATATTTGTCCCCCCCTTCTTTTTAGAAATGACATGTCCTCATTAATATCTTACTGAATTCATAGATTTTTTCAATTATTATTTTTTTCATTTTAGAATGGAGTCCATATATCAAAATATTTGGGAATCACAGTATTCTCAATGATCACCAGCTGTCAGCATTACTGAGGCCAAAACAACAGACTGTTTCTAGGTATGAGTTAATTCAGATTTTTTAAAAGTCAATCAAATTATTTCTTGGCATTAAAATCTTATAAATGATTAAATCCTCAAAACAATTTTATTCTAAAATACATTTTGTTTTGATAATTAGAAGTTATCATAGCAAATTCCCTGTTGGGATGCCCCCAATCATCTCAGCAGAAAATACCACAACAATTCTTCAGGGAATAGTCCTCTCTGTTCATTGCTCATCACTCTTTTCAGTTTATTCTTTACATCCAAGATGGATTACATTGTGTTGTGTACTCAGGGCCCTCTCAAATTCACCTTTAAACCTACTAAGTCATTTTACTCTCTGATACTGCAAGTGTCACCTGCTCTTCATACACGCCAGCTCTACCACATGGAAGGCCCTTACAGTTCATGTGTGACATTGTATCTTTCATATTGCTAATTCTGTGAAACACAACTTCATTGAGTTCACATTCACAGAAATACCAGGAGAAAACAAAGCTTCTCTAAGCATCAGTGGTGTGCAGAACTAGGGAACCAGAAAGATTGGGAGACTTCAGCTTTCATCCAGCATCTTTCAATAGTTTCCCCAGAAATGCTTAGAAATTATCAAATCTAACTATGAGGAGAGTAGGCATGGAAGATATTTCACAAATGTTGGGATTTCTCAAAAGGCCTTTCTTCTATTCTCTCCCAAGGAAAATACAGGTGAGTAACTATGTCTTGTAAAAACATACTTTTGATCTTTTGGCATCTTTGCTAATAAAGGAACCAGCTGATGAAGGCAGAATACAAAATGTTATTGTTACAGAGAGGAATTGTTACTGAGAGTAATCTCCATAAAAGGGGGAGGTTCCCGGT